TTTTTTTTTTTGGCTTAAATACAAACCCCATCAAACACTTTAATTCAATTCAAACAATCAATCAAACACTCGCCACAGCAACCACCTGCACAGAGAAAAAAAGGGTGAAGATGGTGAGCAAAACAGAGGAAGAACAAGTGAATAGATTGGAAAACCAAGTGGAGAACGGGGGAGGCGGCGCGTGGGAATACCTCTGCCTCGTCGGAAAGCTCAAGCTTCGCCGGTCGGACAGGGTCTTGAAGTACGGCTGCTCCATTCTCAACGACCCCAAAAAGCGATCTGCACTCGGCCCAGAAGGTCTATTTTTATTCCCTTTATCTTTTTTTTTGTTCTACTTTTCGAATCTCTCTTTTGAAAGTAGATCGAGATTTTGGAATTTGGGATGCACATACATTGTATGCCTCGTATTCTGTTTTTATGGGCGAAACTCGGATGGATAGCATGTGGGTTTTAGCTTATCTTGTTCAATCACAGGTAAGTGTGCAAAACTAGCATAGTGTGATGGAGATTTAGAATTGGAGAGTATTTTAATTCGCAATAAAATGACGCTTATGCAATCTGTTTTTTTTCCTCTAAAGAACTTAGGACCTGGAAGTTTCTCAATTTTATAAACCCAAATGAAGTTAGTGTTTTTATTCTAGTTGATGGGCTACGGTCGTTTATAGGCAGAATATCTGAGCAGTATCCGCTGGTTCTTGCTAGCTCCATACAATGTATCCCACCGTGTGTGTGTGATGGAAACCACTCACTTGAGCGTCGGAAAATTCTGACTGGAAGGCAGTGATTTGTCTAGTTCATCTTAGTATGGCAAAAATTTACTGGTTGGGGGTGCTGTTCCCTCTGATGAAAATATTTTTGACAAGTGATTTGTAGCTTCGTTACAATTGTTTCCATTGTCAGCTGCGGATTTACATCTTACTTTGATCCTATTGTATGATCGTTATTGTTCTATATCATTTATCTATCACTCGATTAATGCTTGCAGTTGTAGATTTGCTGATCTGATCGATATTATTTGCTAAATTGGTTTTTACTCAGCAATCTCACAATTGCTTTGGTAACAATCCCATCATGGACAGTTTGCATATATTGCGTTCTGTAGTGTGTAGACATTAGTTTTCCACGATGCAGAATCATGATTCGGCAAGCCTTCTTGATATATCTTACAAATTGTTAGATTCACCTTTTTATCCCTTCTGATTGATGTAGAATGGACTTTATATGAGCAAGTTGCTGTTGCAGCTATGGACTGCCAGCGTCTTGATTTGGCTAAGGTAGAGGAATTCTTTTCCTTAAGAATTTGTTTTGTCATATTTCTTTTTGTTTAGAATTAAGTCTTAGTCAGCAGATTTTGCAGTATTCCCACCTCTTGGATTTTAGTTTCTTTCAACTCATCTGACGTACTCCTTTTGGAGCATAGTTCATTTATGTTTTGTTAACATAAGACACACCAATATTCTACGGGTCTTAGTACAAAACAAAAGAGTTTAGAGTTGAACGGGCAGAGGATAGAAGCTGGTTAAAAGATATGAACTTGTGATGGAACGCTCTGGTGCACAGAGTGGTTGAACTAAATTTGTGGTTCTTAATACTGGGGAAGCTGTGAACTTGTGATGTAGGAAAATTAAATGTGTGTGTGTATAAGTATTTCTGGATTAGTATGCATTGTATAGGCAAGATTGGGACCTTACGCTCTCATTTTCCTGCTCTTCATTTGTTATTCAATCAAGTTCAAGTTCTTATATGCCGGCCAATTTGGAGCTCCTTGTGATTGATTAAGATTATTTGTAATGTGGAGGAAGACTACGTGGACAGCAACATCTGTCGATGCCTATGTTTCTGCCATCCATATTTGTGTGAATTATCCATTGTATCCTTGATGAAAAAACTTGAACTGTATATGTTATTTCCTTTTGTGCAGGAATACGTCAAGATTTTACAGAAGAAATTTCCAGAGAGTAAACGAGTTGGTAAGTGTAACTAACTGATAATATATTGTGTGAATAGTCTCTCGTGTCATAGATCATAGTTTGTTCTTACAAATCCATTATTTCAGCCATCGCAGACAATTAAAAACTATGGATTTAGTTGGTTATTTATTGCGTAAGCCAACTATTATGTGCTCTTTCACAATAGGTGTCTCCATTCCTTTGCAGTAAGCTAGCAGTTAATGAGATTTTTCTATCTTAGCATTTTATAATTTTAAAACTGTCAAATATTGGTAAAATAACCTTATGTTTCTACTGGATCTTGTTTGGGACCTTCCGAAACATGAAACAAGTCTACATATAAGTAGTTATGGTTGCAAGTCTACATATAAGTAGTTATGGTTGGAACTTGCAAATAAACTGATTATGGTCGATTTACAGAATCTAGTTTATTTTTAACCAATCTGCTGATTTCTAGAATCTTACTTGAGCCGTTAACTTCATAAATGTCATTTTCTTCTTCTTTGCTTCTGCTTTCTATCATGGTATCATATGTCATGGGCAAATTCATTCCATAGGCTCAAGTCTTATGTTCGTCTATGTAGATGCTTATCATGTTCAAATGTCCGTGTTTAGCTCCATTTCTTTAATTTTCCAGGTCTGGTTCTTAGTCATACCCCTTAAGAACCTAAGGTTATCAAGATAATTGTTTGTAGCTGCTTATTTCTCTGTTTAATTTCTCATTATTCATTGGTTTGGTGTTTAAAGAAATGATATTATTATTTTTCCTTATTATTTTGCATCTACAGGTAGGCTCGAAGCAATGTTTCTCGAAGCTAAGGGAATGTTAGCAGAGGCTGAAAAGGCTTACTCGAACCTTTTAGAAGAAAACCAATTTGATCAGGTAGGTGGAGAGAACATGCATATGTATTGCATAATGCCATTTAATGTAAGAGTAGATGAAGACTCAAATATAAATGTATTTATTTATTTATCTATATGCATGAATATGTCCCCCATACTCTCTTGTCAAATAATATGCAGATAGTACACAAGAGAAGGGTGGCTATTGCGAAGGCGCAAGGGAATCTTTCAGGGGCAATTGAATGGTTAAACAAGTACCTTGAAATGTAAGAAAATGAAAAAGTGATTATTTGGAGGCTTCAAAGCAACATTGTTGACTTTGTTCGGTTATTATCCAGATTCATGGCAGATCATGATGCATGGAGAGAGCTAGCTGAAATTTATGTCTCTCTACAAATGTGAGTTTTTCTTTATCTTTCTATTTTCTTATTGATCTGAGGTGAGAGTGGGTGAGAGGGAGAGGAGTTTCTCGCTAGAGAAATACTTGACAGATCATAGATGTAAACCAGCAATACAATTTGTTTTCTCATCTTATTATTATTTTTCTTTCTTAATCCTTTTCGATTTTGTTCTTTCTCTTCTCTCTCTATCTTGCTTGCACTAGGTATAAGCAAGCTGCCTACTGTTATGAGGAACTGATCTTATCTCAGCCAACCATTCCGTTATATCATCTCGCCTATGCTGATGTGAGTAGGAAATTCCTGTTATTCGCCGCAACTTGTTAAAGCTAAAATTAAAATTGATCTCTGCCTTACAGGGAATGTTTTCATTTTTTTTTTTTTTTTATATATCCCTGATTTTTGATGGTGTGTGCATGTAGTGATCATTACTAGTTATTGACGATAATCTAATGTACAGCACTTGGTACTATCATATTGATCATGAGAAAAATTTGTTCTGAATAGCTATCTGACAAAACGGAATTGATTTATCTTTCCTGGTTCGCCAAGGTTCTATATACTGTTGGAGGACTCGAAAATCTTCATGCAGCAAAGAAATATTATGCAGCAACCATAGACTTGACAGGCGGCAGGAATACTCGAGCTCTCCTCGGCATATGCTTAGTAACTCTCTCTCTCCCTCTCTCTCTCTCTCTCTCTCTCTCTCTCTCTCTCTCACACACACACACAAACGCACACACACACACACACACACGCACACACAACACACACAGTTGATTTTGCTCGTGGCTTCTGGATTCTTAGTTGGTTCGACTGGTGTTTCAGTGTGTTTCTGCTATCAGCCAGCTGGTGAAAGGGCGTAACAAAGAAGATAAAGAAAGCTCGGAACTGCAATCGCTCTCAGCACAAGCACTGGAGAAAATATACAAGCAGCAATCCCCGGCCAAACTTTCTCTTGTGAGTTCCATGTTGAGAAGATTGAAAGTCTCGTCATGAATGCCAATGCATTATTTGGGTTACAAAAAATATCGACTCCATGATAGGAACCGAAACGGCAATACCCGTGTAACTTTAAGCCCTCTCTTGTTTGCAACTTATTTTTTGCATCAGCAGACTAATTTGAACTTGGTAGTCAGAGATCAAGATACTTTTTTTTTTGGTACAAGAGATCGAAGATACTTTAGACCAATGCAATAATATTTTTGCCCAAACCTGAGATATTTTAGCCGAGTGTAATGTTACATTTACCAGAAGTGATATTTTACATTAATGTTATGTTGAAACTTGTGATATTTTGTTGAATTTTACATTACTTTTTATGTGAATTTTTTGTTTGCATCTTACTATCATCCTACTCTTGCGAGTTCAACAGGCGCAAGCATAAAATGCGAAGCCATCAGATAATTTTCTTATGGAGCCATCAATCACTTAATGTATTGACACATGTCCAAAGTGTATTTATTGTACGACACGTGTTAATACACTATTTGTGAATAACTGTGGATGACTCCATAAGTCGAGCCATCCGATAGCTCCATAGCAAAACTGAGATCACTGTCAATTTATTTATTCTTTATAATTAGCTAAATCTCATGTGTAAGCTTTGTAGTCAACCATTTCGGTTACAAAGCAAAGCAAGAATTTCGGTTGCACAAGGCTCTGGGCCTCGGTTAATGCACATAAGCTTTCATGAATCGTCGAAATTTTCAGGAATCTACTATGTCAGACTAATATATTACCCCAATTTACGAGATACAGTTGGAGGTAAAGCTAGAAACTACATTGAACCAATTTATATTACAACAGAGCAGAAACTCGTGTATGCATAACCGGGCATTTTGACAGTCATTTATCGCAATTTTCATTTTAGTTCAGACAAAGCTCAATTCAGCTGCAGCTAGAGACTCGCGTAACGTGGCCAGCTCTTGACCGGCACGGCATATGTAAGCAGATGCTTGTCTGCCAGACAAGGTAGCTCCTTCCATGCTGTCTATGTAATCCTGTAAAAACATGTGACAAAAGCAAGAGAAGGCAAAAAAAAAAAAAAAAAAAAGGTGGTCTCAGTTTTGATTGTAGCTGCAGCTATTTCTGCTCAATGCCAAAGTCGAGGATTGAAATTTCTCATGTTTTTTGAAGTAACAGATAACTTCTTGAGGTTGCTTTACAGATTCATTTTCACCCGAGGTATCAATAAGGCAGTGTTTACCTGTTTAGTGTATGACCCAGCAAGGAAGAAGTTCTGTATTGGCGTCTTCTGGTCAGGTCTGAAGGGATCTTTACCCGGTCCTTCACGATACAAGGACTGTCCGATTTTGACAACTGATGACCAAGTAACTTCCAGACCTCGGGAAGATGGGAAGAGCACTAGGACCTGAGAACATGAGATCGTCATCAGTTATATTACGTGAATAATTACAAAAAAACTAAGAATCAATCCTGTAAATAATATTATTCTTCTAATTTGCAGATGAACTGGAAAAAACCCAAATTCTTTTTAACATAGTACTGTTGATCTAAAGATCACGGATTGCCTAAGGTATCAACCTGCTCCGAAACTCTCTTTATAATTTCTTCATTTAATAGAGGCATGTAAGGGTCCCCAGGTGTAAGCACACATCTGTAAAAAACAAGTGAACAATGAGATACAGAAATACGGCATCACAAATACAACTTCTTTGCCCGCATTACCAAAATTACTATAATACTAGTTCAACAGATCTTTGCGTGTATTACCAAAATATATGAAACGTATGCAAGTTTCTTACTGAAGCAATGAGCCCTGGCCCTCAAGGTAGTAATCCTCTGGGGATGTAAGTGCAAGGTCTGCAAAACAAGAGAAATCCGCATCTGGAGTATAAAGCAAATTGTCGAGACCTGTGGCTTGCCTCAATTGCCTGACCATTTCAGAGTTGATAAATCCAAAATCAAAATAAGATTGACCAAAATATAACCAAAACCAAACTAATAACTATCGTAAATATTAGTGATCGATCACCTAGAAGCTTCCAAGTCCCTTAACTCTGTGACCCAGCCATTATACCGAAGTTGTACAGTGACAACCGGTACACCAACCAGCTTATAGATATTGTCAAAGAACTGAGACTCCCTCCAACTCTGTGGAAGTAATCTTTTAATTCCAGGGACGTCACAAGCTGAAATCACAAATATTTCAACTCAAACCTTCAGTTCATGAGGCTGGAAAGCAGAGAGAGAAAAATAGGCACGAATGCTGAGAGTCACCAACCTGCTACATAAGCATCAGCTTTGACGGTTTTCTTTTGAGTGGCCTGGACGAAAGGTATCGATAGTTAGTTCTCATGTCTGGACAAGCATAAATCCCTCATTTAAACTACCAAAAATGTCAATTTAAGTCTTGTTCATGAACAAAAAGAAGGAATATTTCAGTTCAAAATTAGTTTATTAGAACGCTGAAAGAGGAAGAATCTCAGTTCTTTCGTATTTTATTCACAAAATACTTTAAAAAGCACCTGTGAAAAAGGATAATGTGCTTCAGTTTCACCTAAATCACTTGTATCAAAAGACTTTTGTACCTTGGACATGGCAAGCCCAGTTACAAATAGATTTCCATCGGCTGATCTATCGTAAAGAATTTCTCTGCATCCCCACCTCAAATGGAATCTGCACTATCAAAGAGATACACGCAATTTAGGCAAAATGTGAAAACCAGGAAAAAAATAAATAAAAAATAAACAGTATATTCATATGAGCTCTTGAATATGCTGCAGTCACCTTCCTCCTCTGTCCACAATATACTGTTTGATTGGACCACTCAAATAAAAGTCTGGAGAACCTTTAAGCATGCGAAGTAGGGAAGCCTCAGTCTTAGTAGCAAAAAGTGAAAATATAGTGAGCATACAGCGTGCACTAATATTATCACAATCAATGAATCCCAAGGCATATGCAACAGGATCCCACATCCTCTGGATACTCTTTCGAGTCCCCCCTTTGGAAATGAACCACTCAGAAAAGCTTATCTGTTGAAAATACATAGACATGTGATCACTGGAACTTGAGATATCATATATAGATGTCTATTTTCGCACGACGAATCATTAAAAAAAAAATAAAAAAATAAAAAATAAAAAATTTGTGTCATATGCTATTAGTTTGTCAACTTTTAGGCGTTCCAGTGCTTATACACAATCCAGTAACCTTGCAATGAAAAACTCAAGGCCATCGAACCATTTCTTTAGTACTATTTTAATAAGCTTTACATTTTGGCATCAAAATCAAATTCAACCTATCCTATATTAAAAGTGATGGTAAAACTTCAATGGGAGCATTTAGGTTATTGAGAATTGGAGAAAGAATCCGTAAATGAATAACCAGGTGATCTATGACCAAAGAAAACTATAGCTAAAGAATGAGTTTGAGATGAAAAGGGCCTAAAGTTTAAATTTCTGGATACATAAGTTTAGAATGAAACAGGCTTGCTCGCTGATATACTCGTGCACGTAGTCAATTGATTATATTTGTTCGTTGTTCGTATACTATGATGCTCTCTTATTCACTATCTTGAATTTTGATAGATGATTTATAGGGCCCAATGTGCACGATTTATGACTTTGATTACTTGGCTCAAATATTCAACTAAAAGTAAAAGAAAATGGACTATTTGAAATGAGACTAACATTATCCAGTTCTCGTATCTTCTGCATTGCTCCATCTGGATTAACAAGTGCCCTCACTACTGGACTAAGTGCGAGAGCCACAGCATTTCTCGCTTTATCATAAGTCTGAAAATCAGAGAAGGGTAAATGTCACAGTTGTAGTGCACTTGTACAGATACAGTAACTAAGAGAGGATAAAAAACTTCCGAATGCATTCTATCGGATAAAGTGAGAAAAGTTAAGTAATTTGTAATCATGTCATATCTGAAGATTATACATAATTTACAATATTTCATGAACATAGGAATAATATTATTCAAGCCTATTAGTTGATAAACTCAATAGTTAGGGAAAAAGAAAATCTGAAATGACAAAGTATATAAATTCACAAAACGAAGTTAATATTGTTTCGTATTGGTGCCTCTTTCACACACTGAAAATATAAAATTAAGCGGGAATTAGTTTTAAACTTAAAAAGGAGACAATAACAACAAACTCAACTATGTTTCAGCGGTGGCCACTTCTGGCCAGACGGTTTGTTATCTTTTCGTTACGTGTTTTACCCTTGGTAAAAATAATCGTTTTTATTTTCTTCTCTTAATAAAATGAATAATGCACAAGCATCATATTTGGAAATCTTGCACATTAATAATATTTCATAAACTTAGATATTAATTGTGTAACTTCTGCCAAGAGAGAGGTTGGGCTGATATCAAGGATGAAAATCAATCTCTACGTATAGCCATTTTGCTGTTATATTTACATCACCAAATATCAGTAAGAATTGAGTAAGAAACATCGACAAACAAACTCAAAAATGGAAATATGCTATTAAATTGACATAGGTGTGTTCTACATAAGAAAAAGGAAGTTAATTAGGCACACTGTGTAATACAAAAAAAAGATCAAAATTTTTTATTAAAAAAAAAAAAAATAAACATCACACAAGGAATGCTATATGGTAATAATCAAATTATATTCGTCGAAAGTAAAGAATTTGATATCAATGTCACATGAGACCTCATTATATTGCACGCATATACCAACATACTAGTTATTACATCTAAGTGTAGGAGCTTTTTTATAAACATTCCCTTAGCTAGGTGGAGCACACTTTAATTATATTTCGAAAACCAAAGACAACGGTGGCAGATAATTGGCACTGCTTGCATTCCCACCATCAGAAGCTCAATTGCTTCTACCTTAACACAGCTCAATTGCTTCTACCTTAACACACAGATATCATTTTGAACACTTAATACAAAGCCTTACATTACATATAAGACGTTGCAGATTCATCCCGAAAAGAAAGTGAGGAAAAAGAACAAATGGGACAGCAAAGACCAAAGATGAAGACAGTAAAATATGTGTTTTCTTATAGTATTTTTTATTACCAAATGTATATGATATCGATCCATGGGGAAAATTTGGAAGAGGAAAAAGTAAGTACCTACAAAATGCATCGAATCTTTTTCGAGACAGTCATAATCAAGAAATTTCCAATAAATAAGCAAAAAATAGCAAGCATGCTCAAATATTGAGTACCTCGAGCTGATTTGTAGTAAGAAATGCGTTAATTCCATGTAGCGGTGCTCCGATTGGAAAACGAAAATCAAGTTCTGCAATTAAATATGCACTTGATCACATGTTCCATCAAATCATATGCCAATGGACCATTAACATCGCTAAGATAGACATATTACTTTTGCATTAAGTATTGGTCATACCGCCAATAGCACCCCCTCTGTTGACGAAAGTGTGAGTATGATCCTTCACAAGCAAATTTTTATCAGCACCTACCTGAGCCAAGCAAAATAAGAAATATATCAGAGGCTATTCACAATCAATAAAGAGATTGCATAAGCACTTATTTATAACTTGTGCTAAGTATTAACACGAGTATATCACATTTCATCTGGGGATCTCCATATGGATTTCTGTGATTGGAAGCAAATCTAAGACCATGGGCTACTAGGTCAATCCTCTCTAAGGAATCAAATATTCAAATATATATCTTATAATGATCTTTTCGCAAAAATCACCTTCACGATATAATTCTAGCATTGCCAAGAAAAGAAGAACAAAAGAAAAAGAAAATACAGAGAATTATAGCTTAAAAAACACTTTCTTCCTCCCCTCCAGAGCCCCCCAACTCCCAATCTCTAAACATCGCAATTTAACATATACTAACTATATATGAATAAGATGGAAAGGCAAGTAGTAGAATCATGTCATCCTCATTTGGCCTATAAATTGGACACTCATCTACAAGCTAATAAGCCAATTTTACCTTCTTCATCAATCGGAAAAGATTATTGTAGCAGCCAAAAAAAACATGCAAACCCATCTCTATGTGGTTTCCATTTTTGTCGACAAAGGACCCTACTTTTCCACCGATGAAAGACCTTGATTCATAAATATCAACCTGCAAATAATCCAAGAATTCCTGGTCTGTGTGATGATAAATTAAATTATGAAAATACAAAAGGTTAATATCTCGAGCATAAAGACAACAGTGCAATAATGCAAGTCAAATTCAATACCCAAGTTCTCTCTGATCCAATATATGCAGTAAACCAATACAAATAGACTGAACACAAATGGGCAGCTCACATCTAACCAAATGATACAGAGCTCCTTGGTTTCACGAAAACAGAAGGGAAATGATAATTAAACTAAACACAGTCATCTTTAATTCTTGTTACTATGTATGGGGTGGGCAGTAGGTAGAATATGATTGAATACCTCATGTCCCTGATCCAATAGCTCGACTGCAGTCGACATGCCAGCTAGCCCAGCTCCGATTATCGCCACTTTGAGTTTGGGCCCTCGATACTTTTCGGGCTCCTGAGGAAATAAACCTTTTGGAGCTGCAAGCCAGCCAAGCATCCGTATATAATGCCAGAAGCAAAGTTCAGTTCGACCCATAAATGATAGGGAACCAAAAAAGGTACAAGCATATTAACAACACAAGAAGAGGTAAAAGTAAACCATTAGCTAGAAGCCATGACTGAAAATTTGCCAAAAGCTCAAGCTTCAAACTTTAAAGCATTATACAGTAGTAAGATTACATATCAAGAAACAGAAACGACAAATACAAACAAAGGATTAAAACTCAGCTTGAATTTGTTCTTACCATTAACGCGCATATCGGAAACACTAGAGTCCAAATCGGAGCGAGCTATAAATCTTCGAGGCCTCTTCAGCTCGTAAGCAGAAGGGCCGATCGGAAAATGGGTCCGCCGGCCATTGACCGAGAAGCAGAGAGAGGAAGCGGCGGCAGCAGCCATACGCTTAGCGGCGTGGGTACACTCGCTAATGGTGGCAGCAGAATCTGAGATTGAGAGGAGCTGCTGGGGCTGAAGGATTAGGCAGTTGGAAGAAGAGAGGCCCAAAACGAATTTTGTCAGCACAATGGGAGTCTTTTGGGAAGTGCAGTAAAAAAAACACCATCTCACGGAAGGTACACATATACTATGAGTAGTAACTAGTAAAAAAAAATGTTTTACCAAAATAAACACTAAGGTTTTTTTTTTTTTTT